CTGCAATAAACAAACATATTGAAATCAATCCAATCTATCAACCAATCAAGAAAATTATGCAGGAACATAGGAACAAAAATCAAAACAATAGGAGAGACAATCAAAACAAAGAAATAAACAATGACAGATTTAAGGTCAATAAGAACCAATCAACATCGAGGTGCAGAGGACAAGCTGTGAATCACATGTGGAGAAATTCAAACACTTCACTTCTACCCGAAGTTTGTGCTGATGATGTCGTTCAGAAGGACGATGAAAGCTCCACGACCAAACCATCCAGCTCAGAGAACAAACCAACATAAAAATCACCCACCTGAGCTACAAATCTTCTCCACCATCTCAGATATGAGTAACCGTTGGAGTCGGGTAAGGGTCCTACCAAATCTAGATGGACGTGGTTGAAACGAGCATCAGGGGTTTTGAAAGAGCCTAAGGGACATTTGTTGTGTCTGATTACCTTAGATTTCTTACAGCTTACACAGGAGCGTGCCCACTCCCTCACGTCTTTATTCATGCCAGGCCAACAAAAGCGTTCGGCTATAAGTTTGACAGCTGCACGAGCACCTGGATGAGAAAGATTGTGCAACGTATTGAAGACGTTGCGTCGATAAGGTTTTGGTACTATTGGACGATCCCTACCTGTAGATGTGTCACAGAGTAAGGTTTCCTTACCTGTTCCCATCTGCCTAATACTTAGTTTAAGAGTTGTCGAGGATAACTCATGCTGAAGATCAATGTCTTCTTTTTGAAGCTGAGCGAGTTTAAGAAGGTCGATTCCTTGGAAACTGTTCAAGGAGCTAGTTCGAGACAAGGCGTCTGCGACTACATTGTTAGCTCCAGAAATATGTTGTATGTCTATGTCGTCTAAACTAATTGATTTCGCATTTCCACGAAGCTGATCGGTTAACTGTTTCATTAGGGATGCGCATTTAGGTATGAACCGTCTATAGAAACTTACGAGTCCGTTAAAAGTTCGTAAGTGCTTGATCGTGGTCGGTTCTGGGTAATCCAGAATGGCCGCCACTTTGCTCTTAAGGGGTCGGATGCCTTGGGCATCAATAGTGTGTCCTAAGAAGTCTAAGGAGTTTGTTCCGATTTGGCATTTCTGTATGTTGACAGTAATGCCATGCCTTTGGAGTCGATCGAAAACAATGTCCAGATGCTTGAGATGTGATTCTCTGTCCGGACTTGCTATTAGACAGTCATCAACATACGGATGTATGAAGTTGAGACCTCGGAAAACGTCGTCTATAAACCTTTGGAAGGTTTGAGCCGCGTTTCTTAAACCAAAAGGCATTCGTAGAAATTCGTAAAGACCGAAGGGAGTGATGATGGCGGTTCTAGGAATGTCGTCAGGTGCCATCGGAATTTGGTTATAAGCTTTAACCAAGTCGATTTTCGAAAAGACAGTTGTACCTTTCAAGGTAGCTGTCAAATCGTGAATATGAGGCAGCGGGTAACGATCGGGAATGGTTTTAGCATTCAGACGCCGATAATCACCAGTTGGCCGCCAATCATTGCTGTTCTTTTTAGGGACCATATGCAATGGGGATGCCCATGGACTATTCGATGGTCGAATTATCCCTAGGTCCATCATGTGGTCGAATTCGTTTTTAGCTAACCTAAGCTTCTCGGGAGCGAGTCTTCGAGCTTTCGAAAATACAGGTGGTCCTGTAGTCGTGATGTGATGTGTAACATTGCTGGTTACACAAGGCAATTTCGATTGCGATTGGTATATCCCGGGGTATTTGTCGAGTACTGAATGGTACAAGGGGTCTATGGTGTGCTTAATCGTGACTGGGGATAACCTGCAACCAGAACAAGGAGTTACGCTGACGTCTATTAACTTTCGTGAGCGTGTGTCGATGAGTAGATTGTGGTGTTGTAACAGATCTATACCAATGATTGGCATAGAGACATCTGCAACCACGAAAATCCAGTGTATGGGTTTGCGTAAACCCACGTTAAGGTAGACGTACCTTTTACCTTAAGTAGCGATCGGCTTTCCGTTTGCCGCCTGTAAACTTAAAACAGACTCGCGAAGTCTGTGGTCGGGATTTGCTGGAAGAACGCTAACTTCTGCGCCAGTGTCGACGAGGTAGCGAACTTTCGTAGTCACATCCGTGACGTATAACAGACGGCTGTGTTCGCCGGCTACGGTTGCCGTTAACGCGTGCCGGCTGGGAAGTTTCCCGAAATCTTATTCGTGTCAGTCGATTTTGAAGTCGGATAATTGCAAGGTTTCCTGCAATTTCTGGAAAACTTACCGTACTGGTTGTGATACCAGCACCAGTTGGGATTGTCTGTCTCTCGTGGTCGAGAGCCAGATCGCTTACGTGAGGCGCTTCTACGCGGGGTTTTTGACCGACTACGGTCATTGCGAACTCTAAGATATCGTGTAAGCGTGTGACATAGTTCGGCCATGTCAGTCGAGGTCGATTGTGGTTTTTCCTTGACGGAAAAAACCTCGGCCTTAGAAGATCTAGTGATTTCCAAGATTCGATCGGCAGATGCAGCTAGTTCATCTATGGCATTGTTTTGAAATGAAACAAGCACTGCCTGCACCTGTTGAGGGAGTTTAGACAAGAAAAGTTGTCTAAATAGGCCATCATCGAAAGTTCGTTGGCCGATGACTTCTCTCATTCTAAGCAACATGTCCGTCGCAGAACCATGTTGCAAGTCGATGTTATGGAAGAGTTGGTCTAACCGTTGTCGATCAGTTAGGTCTCCTCGTTTTAAAATCGATAGCTTAAGCGTTTCGTAAGGTTCGGGAACATCACTAGTAAACATACTAGGTGTTACGTACCTGTTAAACTCGCGCGGTAACGCCCTAACTACCGCGAGGAAACGTGTGCGCGAGTCCGTGATTCCGTGCATGCTAAAATCGGCTTCTGCATAGCAGAACCAGGACTCGATATTGTCAGGCCAAAATGGCGTTAACTGAATCGAAATAGGGGGAATAGACGTAAACTTAAGAACCTTAGGAGAGTGCTCCGTCATAGTAATATAGATAACGAAAAATGTCTAAGTAAAATATATCCGAGAAAAAAAATTCGCGAAAAAACAGTATATCACAATATATAAAATTCAAATAAAGAATAACAATGAATAATAATATTCCAAAATGGAACAGACTCACAGTATATTGACTTGGTGTACCAGATCACGTCGGGTTCACCAATGATGATGCAACGGATGTTCTAGTTTTACAACTAGCTACCAGTAGCCCCTTCTATATTTGATCGTTCCCAGTCAGATAGAAATCAGAAGTCAGACGAGAAGAGGCAGGAAAGATATATTTGATTCGTTACCAATATATCGAGGACCTTTTCTATGAGCTGGCTAATGAAACGTAGGAGCTGTGTCCCACGCCGAGTCGAAACGTGATCTGGTGTGGATGCATGACCGAAAGCCTTCAGCTAAACAAGTCCACTTAAACACGTGGTCAGCATCCAATGTCGAACACTTAATGAACTATTGATTTTGGGGAATTATTTACAGCTACAAGCGCCTCCAGTCACTTAACCTTTACCCGTTAGTGTACAGGCGTCTTAGAGGTGACCTTCTTATGACTTGCAGCATCCTTATTACTTCTGGTCATTCCCTTAAACATCTTCTTAAACTTAGTCATAACACTAACCTAAGAGGTAACACCCAAAAATTGGAGACCCTATATAGCAGAACAGACTGCAGACACAACTTCTATTCCGTTAGAGTTGTCATGTGCTGGAATTCTCTGCCGACTGAGCTAGTCCAAGCGACCTCCCAGGAGTCCTTTAAGAGGAAACTTGACTTATTCTTAAGGACTAAGGATAACATATTATTATGATTTACCAAATTCTTTTTTCCCCTCTATTATCGTTCACATACCTAGGTTTTTGCCTGGAGGTATTGGTGATCCACTGATACTAGAAACGGAAGCCCGTTAAGCGAAAGCTTTTTCTATTCCGTCCTCAACCATTTGAACCATTTACATCTATTGAACAGGTTTGAAAGGCGGCTTTTACAAGTGAAATTAGTATTCCAAGGTCAGTCCCAAATTTGGTTCAGAAAACAAAATGGGTCCAACACTTTGAACTTCGTATTATGTAGTTATAAGGACAATTACTCTGCGTCAATCTTTTGTAATTATTTCTGTAAAGAAGTTTTTTTGAAAGGTATTTGGCGCTCGTATACATGTTTGGATAGTGTTTCACGCGTTGACAGCTAAATCTGTAAAGTGAAACTTTACCGTGCATTTTCCAAATAGATTCTTATTAAATTTTCCATGACGGCTTCGAAATTGTTTAGTCCTAGTATAAGGGCTAACATATCTTGCCCTGAGGCGTCGAATGAGAACTTCTTAGGTATACAGGTGATAATAAACGAACCCGTTAGTTTTTGAGAAAAAATAACTGTTTGACGTAATAATGTAAAAATGAAGTGTGGAATTCGGTGTTTATGTTCGGGGAAATGTAGGTGATTTGGGAAAAGTAAAGGTGTTAAACGAGATATTTATCCGCATTGTGGAAACTTGATGGTATGTTTGCACTTTATTCCTCGGGCTTGGGAAAATAATGGCAATGTGTCATGTTTTAACATCGGATTTAGGTAATCTATCCTTTATTGACAACACGTTTGTCTTTATTTCTTTTTTTTGTTTGCTAGCAATTCATGGAGTATTTGTATTTTTGTGTGCTTCGTATTGTATCTTAATGTCACTAATTCCTCTAACACAAGAAGCGTTTAAAATCCACTATTCTGTTTGGTTTGTTGCAGTTTTAGTTGTTTCTTCATACTCAATCTATGCGCACATTTGTTTGTCGGGAAGAAAATCTGTAAAATACTGCTTTTCTCCTGAAAACTTTTTTAAGCGTTTTGCCTTATTGTTAAACAAATGATGGTTGTCTTTGACTAATTGTTCCAATTTTAAAATAATTTTCTTTGAAATAATGCTATAATATGCATGCTTTACTTATAAGCCTTTTACTTTCAGGATAATTATTTATACATCTGTCAATATGGCTTTTACAACAAGTATGATTCCGGAACAAGCTCAAGTTAAAGATCGTGCTGATGAACTTCTATCTTTATGTAAAAAAGCAGTTGTATGTTTTATCGTACGTAAACATGACTTTTATAGGCTGACTGCAATAACGTGAAAACAACACTTGATTCACTTGACAAGTTACGTTGTAAACAACGTTGTTCCAAAGGTTAGTTAGTAGGTTATGTCAGTAATACTGACAATTAAAGTTGTCAAAAGTCAATTGAAGTCCCTATACACACAGGCAATTAGTGAAGCTGAACATCAAAAAGCGTAAGTTAGTCAATGGACAGTTCCTTATTTTTCACAGTACTCTTATGGCTGCTCTAGAAAAGGTATCGGAGATTCGTGCTATAGAATATAAGTTGAGTAAGTCGAAATAAAGCTAGCCAAATTTCTTAGGAACACATGTTGGTCCGAAAAGTTTTCGCCGCGGTGTCCTAATGTCAGTTTTGCAAGAAAATGCCAAATCGATACCACTTTGGATAGGTAAACCCGGTGAGAGGTTAGTTTGACGCATAGTTAATTATTCCCACTCAGTCCCCCTGCTCTGTGTGGTGCAACAGCACCATCACCAGATATTCCCGCTGATCCTGGTGATCATGTTGCTGCCCTTGTTCCAGAACCAGACGTGGCAGCTGCTGCTTGTAATTTATCTGAAGGTTGTATATTGGCTGAGGTTGTTTCGTATAATTCTGATAAAGAAATCTATGAGGTAGAAGATGTTGATGCCGAAGAAGGAAAGATGTAAGTTACCGAAAAAACCAGCTTCATGGTTATTGTTTTGTACCTCTTGTTTTTAAGCATCAGATGTCCTGAAATGTAGTTCCCAATTGTAAGTGAAGTAATAAGTGGTGTATGCTCTTGTCGTTATTTCTTGGGATAGTGACTGATGCTAAAAGAATACATTGTCAAGGTGTTTCCACCTAATATCTACACTAAAAAGCGATCAAAAAGACTAATTTGTTTGTTTACAATGCTTTACCACTTGTGTAAATCAGATTCGTCTACTCCGTGCTTTGTTAGTAGTGGATTTATTTTATTTTATAACGTCATTGTAACCTTATTGATTATTCCGGCTTGTAAAGTACATCTCAAAGTGATAAACAATTGTACTAGTTCGTAGACTCTTTACTTTCTTTTTGTCTGTGTTAAGTTCTTTAAGCTGGATAGCATATTTGCGAAACCTTCATTATTAGTATAGACACCATCAGCACCTACTTGATGATGCTGTTCATGCCGTCAAAGAAGGTTTCGCAATTAAACTGTCTAGTTCAGAGAACATCATACTACCGAAGTATCTACAAAAGCTGTGAATCTCTATCATTTCAATATCTGTTTGTAACATGCTTCGATCAGATATCTTTCACTAAACGTATTGGGTCATCTAGTAAGTTGTTTACTAATTTAACAAGTATGCTTTTTAGTGTAAATTTACTGGTGCGTTAGTGGGACAAAACCTCGAAGTTGATATTAAATCCAGTCAGTAATTGTGTTATATACTTCCGTTGATACTGCAGCATGTCACTATTGACCATAATTCTAGTTTGATTCCTATCACAATCTAAGTTTACTTCTAGCTTCCATTGTTGTCCGTATACCAACCAAAACTACCAGAAATAATATTAACCACTATTTAATCATATGTGTGAAAAGACTAGGTATTTGTTTTGGGTTTTTAATTTAGTATATGTTGTTTTGTCTAATAAGCCTTTGATCATGGTTTCTCCAAAGCATTTCTCGCTTATTGTGGAACAACACAGGAGCAATGGTAAACTTAAGCGTAGGTCACTGTGCAGATATGCCAATTCAGTTAATGAGACAGAATCTCCATCAATTCAAGTGTTTGGGACATATGTTATGGATGGTTAGGTACCGCCTATCCTGACGTTCACTGGTGGTCGAGATAATAATAGGTTGAAAAAACCAAGTGTAGTCAAACCGGAAAATAATATCAGTCCATAAAGCCATTGGTTGTTTGATTGAATCATGCCGATAAGTCCAGACTATCCTATTGGAACTTTCTCGCTAACCATGTGCAGTAGTTAGGGTTGAAATTTATTTAAAATCGATAGCAGCGATACAGACTCATTCATTATTTTCTTTCACTTCTCTCACTTTTTCAAAACGTGTTTTTAATGTTTAGTCTTTAGCATCACCATTGATTCACTATTATATGAACTTTCTTGATATTTATTTTGTTAATTTAATGCCGCCTCGCTAATGTGATGTCACATGTGGGGCCACGTGAATATGTCCAAGAGTCAATGTCGACTACGATTTCATCTATAAACGACACATTTCCAGTGAGAAGTCGTTAATAGATGAACTGCACTAACGTTTGTGCAACTGAATCATTAGTTATATATATATATATATATATATATATATATATATATATATATATATATATACTTAAACTCGTAGTTATTGCTATGTACATTCCTTGTTCTTTCAAAACGGATCATGAACCCTATAAAAAGCAAGATATATTGGTTTACATTCCGTAATTTGCAGGCCAAAGTGAGTATTACAAAATGCAAGTATTTCCTGTGAAATGTTTACGTATAAACATCATTTTATAACTTAATTGCAAGTAAATAGTGTTCTGTTTCCGTCACAAATGTATTCAACATTTTTAGCTTGCTCATTACTATTATCATTAATCACTAACGTTGTGAGGAAATCATTTTTATATGATTTTGTCATTTCTATTCATCACATTATTACGTCATTCTTATTGAAACCGAAAATAAATAATTTGCATGCTTCGTAATATTTTATCTGCACCTATTTGACTTGACCTTGTCCGACTACAATTCATTGTATGAGCAACAAAACACAATTTAGTGTGACCACTTTTTGAGTTTCATCTGTATGTTTGTATAACATCACACATCTGACTTGGCTTCATAATAACTTATTCAACATTGCTTCATATCATCCATGTGTTATTATTCATTTAATATGCATTTGTACTTTGTCGAGGAGAAAATCGCAACCACACGTCTCATTCTCTGAACAAAACTAACACATTTTTAAGTGAACTAACTCGTGCTTCCTTTCGTTTTCCATACTTTTGTGTGCGCACGTATTTTATTCACACTACAATTTAAGATTTCATTGAGAAAATTGCATATATTTTTTATGTCAAGGCGTTACTCTCTATCCCGTTCTAAAGTTATACCTTTACCAAAATGGAAAGCCAATCCGATTACAAATCCTGAGGCAATATTCAATAAAGGTTCTGTAAGTCAGGCCCATTTTGCTTACTATTTAACCAGTATTATTATATTTATTTAATTTCTAAACTTATACGCATCGTTAATTAGCATGTAGAAAGAAAACAATAGGTTATTTTCTCGGGTCCTGTGTGATTAAGCTGTATTTATAAGAAAGAAGTTGTATGACCTATCTCTAGTCAATGTATCGATTGGTTTACTTGATAGTGCCACTTAGACCGGTGACTTTTTACATAATACCTAACACATTCACCAATAAATAAGATGTTAAAGTCCATTGGTCTTCGAGCTCCTAATCCAGTGGCCAATCAGAAGATAAAGGTGTCATAACTTGTGGCCTAGTGGTTGCCTTGTTAATCTATGACGTGGTAAGACTGCCAAATACATAGCAGCGAATTATCGATCGGACCACTGATACGCGAAACCGTACGAGCGGTCTAGAGTACTTGTCGGTCCTGCTTCTACCTAGCCCAGCCAGTTAAGTCCAGAACAGCCTCTGCAGTATGAATCATTATATTTCAAACATACTGCGTTTATATACCAACCAAACTGACCACATCGTACCATGAAATAGAAAATAACATTTGTACAAGATTTAGCCAGATGTGGTTGTGAATGTGGGAGGCAGTAATTAATAGACTATGGATAATTCAAGAATGGTAAATCGTATAATAATAGTCTATAAGTCAAAATAAAGCTTATAATGAGAGGGATGTGAATATGAATAGTCTAGTTATTTAGCAATTATACGACAAAAAATATATGCATAGTATTGGTTCATAAACAGATCCCAAATTTACCATTCATTATCCTTATCGGGGCATAACAAAAGACCAGTTCTGTCATACCTAGTTCAATCATGACTCATAACTGATACAACAATATAGAGTAAAATCGTAACCACACAAACGTAACGGTGTAGTTACTCCATAAGTAGATAAGCCCTGAGTAATAGGTCTGTAGCGAATTAACAGTAACTTAAATAAGGTATAACGAGTAACGACAGTTTTATGTATCACGAAAATGTTTATAGTCAGGTGAACACAAAATTACAATAATGTTGCACTCAATAATTAAAGAACAGAAATAGAAAAACTAACTTCAGGTAGGATAGTTCCGGAAGCTCAACTTTTCTAATAATCGTCCCGTTATAATATCAATACATTAAGACTAGGTTTCCTAAAGTAGGAAGTGTTTTACGTATTTTAAACTGGTTTAGACAACTGATTCTACAGTGTTTTTACAATGATGTAACCAATAAGAAAAAGATATATAATTATAGCTTATTTAAAATAATCTGAAATTACTATATTTTAGGATGTATTGAACAGAACAATGTAGAATTCTCATAAAACAAGTGTTTTGCTTTAAGTCGATTAGTTTTATAAATAACACTTAAAACGAGAAATCAGAGGTAGAAAAATTAGAAAAGTGACTGCATAGAGGAAAATATGCATAGCGCAATAAAATCTAAAAGGATTGTATGATTTATGATGTTAGTTGGTTGGAGGTAGCCAACAGGAACCATAAACCTAGGCTTCATGCTTATGGCCACTCATCAAGTCGTGCTTCAAATCTTTAGGAAACCGTTGGTCCCTGTGGGATTGGAACCAACCTGTCTTGACTTCACAACTCCATTTATAGCTCCTCTAGAGTTACTGCCGGTCCGTAGTCTACACAAAGGAGGAGGGTTGGGCATGGGGTCGACAATCCCATCCTGTCGAAAACAACCTTGCTAAAAAAATACGCTAACCAGGACAAACAGTTCAATTCATTTAGACTCTCCCTTCCAAGTTAAAGGAAAAATTATGACGCCTCATGATGAAAGCCGAGATTTTTCAGAAGTCACAAGGCCGATGACCCTTCTAACAATCAGAGCAATAATTTTTATAGATACATTAAACGTCCGGACAATGTGGAGACCGAGAGGACCAGTTAAGTAGTGTTGAGGACAATAGATCCCCAGAACCTACTTGGAGAAGATCCTAATTTTGTAATTTTATTCTGAAAATTTGAATTTCATGTTTTTGCGCCAAGAGACGCTTAGTTGACCTACAGCTTATATGTCCCACTCGTAAATCCTTGACTTCCATTGTTTGACGGATTTTTTAGTACGCTAATTTGTGGCTCTCCCAATGGCGTTTCTATCTTTGTATAAATAAGCTTGGTTTGTGTTCTTAATGACCTCGTCATCTCAAAAAAATGTCTATGACGAAGTCAAATGAAATGCAGAAAGCAGACGAACGTGACCAACATCACTTGACGTTGGAAGAAAACTAAATAAATGGACCAAGACAGCATCCGTCCATGCAGTTATTAGCAGTCTGTTTAAGCACCGCGTGTAGAGGAGCATAGGCCGCCTACCAGCATTCTTCATCCAACCCTGTCCTCGGCAATCCTTTTCTCCGACCATCGTCAAAGTGTTGAACACTTTTGCAAGCGTTTCGGTGTCGATTTGTTGGACAGATCTGTTCTCAAAAGTTGTCTGTTGAAATGTGATATATCTGAAGTTATAACTATATTGTCTCCTTAGAACGCAAACGGTACTATGATATGCACTCTCCTATTTTCGCAAATAAGCAGGGTGTTTGATAACGTTGCTTACTGACCACTGATATTTTGGAGGTAGCTTCAAAAAAAGTACATAGTGTGAATGTGCATTGATAATCTAGAGATAAACTATTGCATTTTAAATAGAATAGATGAAATGTGGTTAGCGTTGTGATTCAGGAGGAGCGTTTCGTCCTATTTTAGACTCATCGGCTGGGTATACTTGCATCACAGAATTAATATTTACTTTGGAACTCAAACCCAGTATCGTTTAGGATAACCCAAACTATTCAAACTATCATTCAATTTTGAGTTTTCAAATCATATTGTAATCGTCATCAACAAATAGGTATTTATAGTATTTATTAAGCAGTTAATTAGTGGCTGCAAGTTTAGTGTGTAATCTGCGTCCCTAGGAAATTACTACGGATGATTTTTTTGAATTATAGTATACAAAAATACATAAGACAAATTCACCCTCCATATAAAAGCGGTTTTTATTTTTTGTTTACATCACTCGTATCAACTGACTCTGAACGACAGTCACTAGTTGTATTTTAATTTTTTCTATAGACTGTTTTGGCTCTTTATCCACAAACAACATGTTTCTACAAAGCAATTGTGGATGAAATCCCAACTCATGTAAGTTATTCATAGTGTTATCTTAATACTTTCTACATTTCGAAAGGAATACATAATAATTAAAGAACAGAAACTCTGGAAATACTGGTCATCTACATTAAAGCGGTTCATTGGTGCGTCATATTATGTTAGCAGCATTGTGTACATAAAACTGTCACCATTACTCATGAATATACATACTACTACTGGCACAAAATAAGTAATGAACACGTTTAATATTATTTTAGTTTTGTCTAGGATATGAAAGTAGAACTCTGATGCTTTAACAAACATGTATTCACGTGAATAAATACAATTCATTCTGTGCACTTAATCATTTGATAATACCTCTATATTTTCCTATTCTAGATACATGATGAGTATTCCCTTTATTTTGAAGATTCATCCTACCCTGAAGGTTATGCTCCAGCTATTAAAATACCACAACGATATGTTATTCAATGTCCTGACAAAGAAGCAATGACGAGTAAACATTTAGACAGATCTAAAAAACGTGGTAAAAAACTATGAAGTTATTACTTATAATCTTAACTTCTTCCATCTTGCAGTTGTGTAAATATAACTACTTTCTTTGTCTCTGTGTCTGAATATGGTAATGTGGATTTTGAAAACAGATTTCAAATAAGTAGTTTTTCGGTCATTCATTCAAACTTACGCTAAAATAATACAAGCAGATATGAAGTAGTACTGAGATATCTACTTATTGACTCACAAGACAGTAATGTATCTTTTCGAAAGTTAGCTGCTAAAGATACTGAAACTAGAACATTAAGAGTATTGGTTCACTGGGTTATTTCCAAAACAAAGGATATTCGGCCGAACAATTGATTTCAGTAACTTCGCCAGTTTGAACATATAGCATTGTCTAATTCACTAATACATGTTTTATTTTGGCTTTTGTAAAAATAACACAATAATTATGGACCAATAACTGTAGAGCCTGATGACGAAGTTATTGAAAACAAATATTTTATTGGAATTCTTAACGGTTTTAATTTACGTCACTCAAACATGATGCCAACAAAGTCTTCGCAGTGATCTGCTTAGTCAGGAAAATATATGTGCGTAGAATTGTGAAGAAATATATTCCAGAGAAAATTGAAAATCTAAACATTTATTTTGACTGTTTAAGACTTTAGTCTATTGAAGCAGAAATATAACATACAAACCCTCATATATAATTATATATGACTACTGGAAAAAAGTTAGGAGCAGCCCAGTCAAACATAGCTTTAGTCCTTCAAGTCACTGGTGATTATTCACTTGAAGCCGGTCTTACAGTAAGCGACTGAATAACTTTGGGAACGTCGATTGCTTAGTTCAGTAATATGAAAGAGCAGTATACTTAATTCCGTGGGTAAAACACCACTAGATTTTCGGCATGTATTGTAGGGTTGGTGTACACCTCTATGTATAGTAGCTTGAGATATTTGAATGTGTCCACTGCTTTACCCTCTACGACAGATAAGTGCACTTTGTTTGGCTGACTGTTAGTGAAACATCGATAGAAGTTCAGAGATTTCGAAAATACACATTAGCGCATGTCACATTAGAGATCGAGGTCAAAATTAGAAGTTTACAGTTCGACGTATAGCCCAGATGTATTTTTTTATGAAACAATCTTCGGCATTCAAACACTTGTTTCCAAGGTCCTAGTGAAACCTATAAGTGACTGATGCTAAGATATTCATAATTTGCACTACTTATCTGTAGAATAGTGCTAAAGCAAGAAATGATTACGAAGTTTTCAACTATTGAGATGAGAAGTGTTGGCAGTTAGATGGAGTAGATTAGTGGCGACTTTAATGATAGTAAGACAATGAGACGTCTACTGTCACAGGACCAGAACTATAATTATTTATCTAAGTTTGAGCGTACCAGTTTCATGCATAACTTATAATTACCATACGTCTTCATAACTGCATTCTCGTGTCCCCAATATCACCCACAAAACTACTATTAATTGTCACTTTATTAGTAGATAATATGAGATTACATGAACGGGGAAAATTACTTACATTTTCATTACGAAATTATCTAGTTTTAAAGTGTTAGAAATTTCTGAAATAGATCGTTTTAAATTTCGAACAGAACGTTTCTGGCAACCGCTAGTTTCCGTTTTTAACACACAAGGTTTACATATTTTCGACAGAGTTTTATTGAATGGTTGTTGAAATTGAAGAGTATTCGAATAATTTGGCATTCTATAGCTGTCAGCAATCTTGGCATGTTGACGCATAATTGACATTTGATAAAAGCTTGATGGTCGACGCTGATTGGCCATAATATTATTTAATGGGATTTTATTATTAGTCATATCTGTTTCAGGAGAGAATAATAAAGTACCATTGTATGCTTGTGAAGTAGATACAGTTTGTTTAGGTGAATTACTAGTACTTGATTGATTCCGTTTCATACGAAATGGATTTGCAGGTGTCAAGTTCGTCTAAAAAAAAATAATTCAACCATGATAAATCAGTTAAATGTTTAGTGAGTTTGTCTAAAAAGTCTTGGAAGGACTCGAATGATTTATCTGTGTTATATCCGAGAAAGATTAAATAGATAGCTTGTGGGAACTATTTGTAGACTGTCATTACATGTATATTCTTATTATATAACTGTTGTAACTAAATTTTCCAGGGGACTGTAAGCAGTATGTTTCTAACTTTCCCTTCGTAAATCTCGATAGGACTCAACTAGAAGTTTTATCATTGGGTCCTAAGTTTTACGATAGTCGTAGACATGTGGGTCATCTGAAAACTGATGTTCAGTTTGAGAATCTATTTACCCAAACAAAAAACTTGATGCCCATGACAATGGTAGAACATAAAAGATTCAAAACCACGCTGTTTAATTGCTGTAACCAATTTAAAAGCAACAAGCATTACACAAATAGTATATTGACTGATGAACATCGCGAAGCTATCCGGAAAATAAAATTGAATGAACACATTCTTATCACTTAACCTGATCGGGCACCGTAATTTTAAACAAGACAGATTACATAGATAAGATGAATGCTCTAGAGTGATCAAAATAAATTCCAAAAGCTTGGGTCAATCAAAAGACCGAACGTCAACTAACTGCAGCATTAAAATTTTTAAAACAATATTAATACATCTCTGAGCATACCCATAATGGGCCCAAGCCTTCTGGAACACATACCCCTCGACTCTATGGCCTACCGAAGATTCATAAACCTGAGGTTTCTTTACGCCCAATTCTGGAAATATCAAACTCACCATACCATTCAACAGCGAAATAGTTAGCAAAATTATTAGAGCCATTACACCAAGAACTGATTAGGCGCAGTGTTGAAGACGTATTTGAATTTGTGGATACGATAAAAAAAAATATGGATGATAAAACCGTGTTATCACTAGGCATAGCATCTTTGTTCACTAACATCCCCCTGGCTGAAACTATCTATTACATATGTGAATAATTACCAGAAAAGAAAATAGGGATGCCGATTCCATTAAGTAAAATGAAAAAACTGTTGAAATGTACTATGAATATCTACTTTAAGTTTAACAATGAATTATACAGACAAATAGGTGGAGTAGCAATGGGACCATCTCTAGGCCAGATCCTTGCTAATATTTTTCTGGCCAAACTAGGAAATGGACCGTTAAAAGACATCCTAAGTAAGCTAGATTATTACTGTCGATACATAGATGACACACTAATCGTGTGTGACGAAAATATCGACAAACAAGAGATGTTGGACTTTCAATAATGTCCACCCAGCTGTCAAATTCGCCAGCGAGGAGGAGAAAAACAATAGTATAGCTTTCCTTGGAGTCCTGCTTTCTAGAAGGATAGACGGTTCTACAAAACGAAATATATTTAGAAATACATGAGTCAGTATGTCCATTTCCAAAGCATTACATTTCTTCAATATAAAATAAATTTTGTTAAATGTCTCAGCCACAGAATCAAGCTATTATGTTCTGAGGACAGTGTCGATAGCGAAATAGATAAACTAAAGAACACATTAAGAAATAATGTCTATCCGGATAATTTCGTTCAAAAATCCCTAGTAGAAAGTATTAATGAAAAAAAAGAAATTTTGACTCAGTGAGTAAAAACTCCCTACATCTGAGACTGGACTTTAAAGGGGATATAGCGGGTGATATTTTGACACGTTGACGGAAAATATCTGTTGAAAGGACGTTTCACGCCGCCAAGCTACATATAATTTTCTCAACCAAACCAGTACTCACACAACGAATCAAGCATAGGTTACCGAAGATGGGCTACTTTATGTGTGTATACCAATTTAACTGCTCCTGTGGAGCTAGTTACATATTATTTATTTATTTGAACACAAATATTGGTACAGAGGGGCACCAGATACATATGCACCACACATATCTTATTTGACTTGTGTAAGTGCGGTGATACTGCTCGGGTGCCCAAACTGAATCAGGTGGTTTTCTTAGGGGGCCACACCCGGAGCATTTGACCTGAAGATCTGATCCACAAGGCAGTAGAGCATCGTTAGGAGATGCAGTCCCATGGTAGCCGGTGACCAACGATTGATTCATACGGCATTTGTGTCCCTCAGGATACTGGGGCCCATATGCACCATTGGTTTGGAATCAGGGTTTACCGACTCCCCTAGGCGGACTTTCCGTGTCCACCAACCCGGTTAAAGCGCCGGACATTAGCTTTTCGTTTTCGCAATTTCGTAAACAACAGTAATGTGAGAGCATTTCGAGAGGGAGAGCGTACTCTCCCCACTCTCGGCCATACTAGGGCATTTGGGGAAAAAAGTGAAAGCCAGTCGCCTTCCGGAACCCGGGATCGAACCGGGGACATTTAGACCTTCAGACCTATTGACTACTATCATACGACCTACCATTTTTAAGTTATTCCCAATTTATTAGTTATTGTCCCGCACAAACACAGCCGCTTTTTGGTTTGATTTTGCATTTTTATTTTACGGAGTATTGCGGTCTGATTTGCTTGTATATAAACTGCGTATATCTGAAATACATTATTTATACAGTGGAAGCTGAGATTGTATTTTGAACTCAAAAGGACAGTGCTAGGCGAGGAGAACTCAGAGTTGACTCTAGACTGCTCGTACCGGTTAACACGTCATTAGTTTGGCACAGTGCCAAGGTCTTATAAGTGGGTGTTCTGATTGGCGATTAAATCACGTGATAATTAACAGGGCAAAAGTTATAACAATTTCAATGTTATAAAAGTTTCTTTATATCTACACAGGAGTTTTCCTATTATCTACATTTTTAGAAAGATATTTTAAAGTATGAAACAAGCAATCAGAAAAAGCAGTGCACTTCTATACGAATATTAACTAAACAGATCTAATCGCAGATAATAGACTTTAAGAATAATACTCAAATGAAATTTTGATTTATCAAATCAAATAATATGAACTATATTTTCCTTTAAAAACACAGTTAACATTTTCGCTCAGATGCTTAGCGAAAAAAAAAACCAAGAGTGGCGTATTAATTTATTGAGATCACTTTACAATA